GACTAATGGTTTGTTCTACACACCTGCCCCCCCTCATCTTTGACTAATGGTTTGTTACACACACCTGCCCCCCCCCCCATCTTTGACTAATGGTTTGTTCTACACACCTGTCCCCCCCCCACATCTTTGACTAATGGTTTGTTCAACACACCTGCCCCCCCCCCATCTTTGACTAATGGTTTGTTCCACACACCTGCCCCCCCCCATCTTTGACTAATGGTTTGTTCGACACACCTCCCCCCCCCACCATCTTTGACTAATGGTTTGTTCCACACACCTGCCCCCCACCATCTTTGACTAATGGTTTGTTCTACACACCTGCCCCCCCACCATCTTTGACTAATGGTTTGTTCCACACACCTGCCCCCCCCCATCATCCTTGACTAATGGTTTGTTCCACACACCTGCCCCCCACCATCTTTGACTAATGGTTTGTTCCACACACCTGCCCCCCCCCATCTTTGACTAATGGTTTGTTCCACACACCTGCCCCCCACCATCTTTGACTAATGGTTTGTTCCACACACCTGCCCCCCCATCTTTGACTAATGGTTTGTTCCACACACCTGCCCCCCCATCTTTGACTAATGGGTTGTTCGACACACCTGCCCCCCCCCTCATCTTTGACTAATGGTTTGTTCCACACACCTGCCCCCCCCATCTTTGACTAATGGTTTGTTCCACACACCTGCCCCCCCCATCTTTGACTAATGGTTTGTTCTACACACCTGCCCCCCCCACATCTTTAACTAATGGTTTGTTCCACACACCTGCCCCCCCCCATCTTTGACTATGGTTTGTTCCACACACCTGCCCCCCCCCATCTTTGACTAATGGTTTGTTCCACACACCTGCCCCCCCCCCCCACCATCTTTGACTAATGGTTTGTTCCACACACCTGCCCCCCACCATCTTTGACTAATGGTTTGTTCCACACACCTGCCCCCCCCCCACCATCTTTGACTAATGGTTTGTTCCACACACCTGCCCCCCCCATCTTTGACTAATGGTTTGTTCCACACACCTGCCCCCCCCCATCTTTGACTAATGGTTTGTTCCACACACCTGCCCCCCACCATCTTTGACTAATGGTTTGTTCCACACACCTGCCCCCCCCATCTTTGACTAATGGTTTGTTCCACACACCTGCCCCCCCCATCTTTGACTAATGGGTTGTTCGACACACCTGCCCCCCCCATCTTTGACTAATGGTTTGTTCCACACACCTGCCCCCCCCCCATCTTTGACTAATGGTTTGTTCCACACACCTGCCCCCCCCCCATCTTTGACTAATGGGTTGTTCGACACACCTGCCCCCCCCCCACTATCTTTGACAAATGGTTTGTTCCACACACCTGCCCCCCCCATCTTTGACTAATGGTTTGTTCCACACACCTGCCCCCCCCATCTTTGACTAATGGTTTGTTCTACACACCTGTCCCCCCCCCACATCTTTGACTAATGGTTTGTTCTACACACCTGCCCCCTTCCCATCTTTGACTAATGGTTTGTTCCACACACCTGCCCCCCCCCCATCTTTGACTAATGGGTTGTTCGACACACCTGCCCCCCCCACTATCTTTGACTAATGGTTTGTTCCACACACCTGCCCCCCCCATCTTTGACTAATGGTTTGTTCCACACACCTGCCCCTCCCATCTTTGACTAATGGTTTGTTCTACACACCTGTCCCCCCCCCCACATCTTTGACTAATGGTTTGTTCTACACACCTGCCCCCTTCCCATCTTTGACTAATGGTTTGTTCTACACACCTGCCCCCCCCCCATCTTTGACTAATGGTTTGTTCCACACACCTGCCCCCCCCATCTTTGACTAATGGTTTGTTCTACACACCTGCCCCCCCCACATCTTTGACTAATGGTTTGTTCCACACACCTGCCCCCCCCCATCTTTGACTAATGGTTTGTTTCACACACCTGCCCCCCCCCCATCTTTGACTAATGGTTTGTTCCACACACCTGCCCCCCCCACCATCTTTGACTAATGGTTTGTTCCACACACCTGCCCCCCACCATCTTTGACTAATGGTTTGTTCCACACACCTGCCCCCCCCCCATCTTTGACTAATGGTTTGTTCCACACACCTGCCCCCCCCCCCCCCATCTTTGACTAATGGTTCCAACCTGACTTGACTAATGGTTTGTTCCACACACCTGCCCCCCCCCACCATCTTTGACTAATGGTTTGTTCCACACACCTGCCCCCCCCCCACCATCTTTGACTAATGGTTTGTTCCACACACCTGCCCCCCCCCCATCTTTGACTAATGGTTTGTTCCACACACCTGCCCCCCCCCATCTTTGACTAATGGTTTGTTCCACACACCTGCCCCCCCCCCCACCATCTTTGACTAATGGTTTGTTCCACACACCTGCCCCCCCCCCACCATCTTTGACTAATGGTTTGTTCCACACACCTGCCCCCCACCATCTTTGGCTAATGGTTTGTTCCACACACCTGCCCCCCCCCATCTTTGACTAATGGTTTGTTCCACACACCTGCCCCCCCCATCTTTGACTAATGGTTTGTTCCACACACCTGCCCCCCCCATCTTTGACTAATGGTTTGTTCCACACACCTGCCCCCCCCCATCTTTGACTAATGGTTTGTTCCACACACCTGCCCCCCCCCCCCATCTTTGACTAATGGTTTGTTCCACACACCTGCCCCCCCCCATCTTTGACTAATGGTTTGTTCCACACACCTGCCCCCCCCCCATCTTTGACTAATGGTTTGTTCCACACACCTGCCCCCCCCCCACATCTTTGACTAATGGTTTGTTCCACACACCTGCCCCCCCCCATCTTTGACTAATGGTTTGTTCCACACACCTGCCCCCCACCATCTTTGACTAATGGTTTGTTCCACACACCTGCCCCCCCCCCCCCATCTTTGACTAATGGTTTGTTCCACACACCTGCCCCCCACCATCTTTGGCTAATGGTTTGTTCCACACACCTGCCCCCCCCCCATCTTTGCTGTAGCGGTGCCGGGTTGAGACCACGGACAGCGCAATCGTCGCCATCTGTTCTCCGATCTGTGCACGCGTACGCCGAGCGGAGAGCGCACGCGCCCGGCGCCAATTACTCATCATCGCGTGCCCATCGCCACGGCCATTACCGTCAGCGTCGCCATGACCACTTACACCGTCACAATTAGCGCAACGCGTTACCAATGCGATCGCGATTTACCTAGACCGGTTATCGTCTCCGTCATCAATTATCATCGTAATTTTTTACCCATCATGACCACCACAATGAAGGTGCCTTCATCGCAATCATCGTAGCGACATCATCCGCACCTCCGATTGGCACGGCTGGCTTACGTACGGCGCGAAAGAAGTTCAACATGCAGTGCATACATCTTCATCACAAGTAGCCGTGGTCAATCCACTGCTGGATGAAGGGCTACACATGCCGCTACTTCGCCGAATCCTGAGATGTAATGGTCCTCCCAGCACCTTCACACGAGCGGATTTCACCGCTCCATCTCCTCCACGGACGTCATTCTCATCATTGCGTCATAATCATCATCATGAACACCACATTACCATGTCATGGTCGTGATCATCGCACTCACGGCGATATCGTAATCAGCATCGTCATCAACTTAGCAATCGTCATCAGCGCCACCACTATCATCACGATCAGCATCTTGATCATCATCATCATTTGCAATAATATCTTCATTAACATAATCATCATCATCATCCTTACCATCGTGGAGTTTTCATCATCGTCATTGCCGCGCCGTTCGCCATATCAGCCGATCTGCTACCCACTCATCCACCAAAGCATACCACTCGCCGGATGATCCACTCGCTCACTCGCTCTCCCGCTCACTCGCTCATTGACCCATCCGCTACATCACCCACTCGGTCGCTCGATCACCGCGACATTTCACTCACTCACCCACTAACCCGGCCGCCCGCATCCTATTTATATCCATTAGACGCGCGGGATCCTCACAAGTCGATCCATCACGGCTCCAGCACGAGCCGCCCGTCTCTTTGGGACCAATAAAGGCGAAGAGGGTCCCGAGGCATGGAGGCACGCGTCTCACCGTGTCTCATCGTGTCTCACCGCGTCTCACCGCGTCTCATCACGTCTCATCACGTCTCACCACGTCTCACCACGTCTCACCTCGTTTCACCACGTCTCATCTTGACTCACCGCGTCTCACCGTGTCTCACCGCGTCTCATCTTGACTCGCCGTGTCTCATCTTGCCTCACCATGTCTCAACATTTTCTGCGGGCGGACAACTACGGCTGTTGAGCCAAGTTACACCGGGCATCATAATGTCCGTCTTCTAAGTTCCCATGTGAGCACACGAATCCGGACAAAGACAAATATCCCCGACACGTGCTGTTAGCGAGCACCTATTAAGGCCGCAAATGTGCACGTGTGGTGCTGTGGTCAGAGCCCGCGCACTATCCCCTCTCTATACCCAATGCTGTCGGTTTTTTTTAAACGACGCACCAGGTGCTCATTCAAGGCTGAGTGAGCCGAGTCAAGGGCCAATCATCGGTTCAGGAATCACTCGCGCAAGCCGTGGCTGCGAGAATCGAACTCGGGTGGCCAGGGGTTGTGAGCGCGGTGTGCCCTAAGAAGCAAGACGCCACCGCTCCCCATACAAACACACAGATATCCCCCGTGGAACTTTAACAGACTGTTGGGGCAAGTGCTGTTAGCGAGCACCTACGAAGGCCGGCACGGCATATGGAGTGGGTGAGTGGCCAGCCACCGCGTCCGGTCGCCTTTGTCTCCCCAGTGGAGATGTTTACTACACACTGCTACACCAGGTACTCATTTGAGGCTGAGTCGACCGAGGGGAGGCCCAGAACTCGGGTCGCCGGGTTCATAGCTCGGCGCGCGAACTGCTACACACACACAGAGCAATATGAATTCTGCATCACGCTGCTGCTGCTCAGTGCAAAACACAAAGATCAAAAGGCGGCTTTCATAAGATCTACTACTTTAATGAGACAGGAGTTCACTAAGCTTTACAAAGAGAGAGAGAGAAATAAAATAAAAACACCCCAGGCTGGCGTAGCGTAGCCCCCATCGTCCGATCGCGTGCGTGATGCGGGATCGCGCACGAGAAGACTCATCCGCGCGACACCCACGAGTGACAGACACCGTACGCGCGTGGCAGCTCCAAGCTCGCGGCTCGCGACGCACGGAGAGGCGCCGCGTCGCTAGCTGTCGCTGAAACTTCGCTCACGCCGAGAGGTTGGAGGTGGCGGGGGACGGCAGCGGTTAGCGCACTTAGCTATGAAGTTTGAAATCGACCGGCGACCTAAGGCCTATGAGTTCAATGCATTGCCACGGATCAATGTCAGTTGCGAACGGTCCTGGGCCTCTCCCCTTCACACCTGCGCTGACCATCAGTATGGTAAAGAACGGTCAAAACAACCCACATTAGCTACACAGCATGGAGAGGCCTTCATCCAGCAGTGGATTGGGAAAAGTTTGCAGATTATTGTTTAATGTTATCGACAATCGTATTCATAACAATGTCCTTCGTTTATTCAGGCGAGTCTCGCCGAGTCTCAAGGCTGTTGTCCAAGGGGGTCCTGCTACCTTAGCATGTTTAACCAATTCTTTAATGTGTGTGTGTCATGTGTTGACTTCACGTGCGAAGGAATTGGAAAACCAGGAGAAAATCCACCACGTAAGTTCCGCACAGATGGATTCAAGAATACACGTTTCTATTGCCACCTGCTTAAGCCAATTCACTGCGGGCGCGCCGCTGACGACATCTCGTGACGACATCTCGTGACGACACTGCACTCTCGCGAGACGCCGCGGTGGCAAGATGTTAACTACCTCTCCTGGTATACAGGAGCGCGTGGGTTCGATCCCGACCCGGACGCATGCTGCTGTATTTGGAGTTTGCGGTGTCTGACTCACCGTGGTGGCGTGCATTTTTTCTCCCGGTCATCCCATTTCATTTCGCTCAACATTTATGAAATGTTTGTTTAGAGTAATTTGGCTGCTATGAATTCCCACGTGGTAAGCCACTTCGTTGAGCTATCATTTGTGGCCAGGTCGTTTCTGAAAAAGCGCTACACAACTCAGTGGGCCTTACCTGGTAACATTAAGATAGTTTAAAGCATGAGCGCCACACTGCAGCGACGTCATTAAACATGTATATTTGCTCCTGAAAGTCACTTGAAAGTCTCTGCTTTTAAAAAAATAAATCATGAACGAAGCATCGACCTCGCGGGAGCCACTCCGGGTGGGTAGATACGAGCCTTCGACGCATCACCCAACCTCGTGTCCAAACAGGCAGCGGCCGTCACGTTCGCAACACGCGCGCTGATCGTAGCGACGCATCGAGGCATCAATGAACATCCGTCGGATCTCAAACGTTGTAAGCCGTGAACGGCACCACCGCAGGCAGGGGAAGTAGAGTCGAGGATGTAGCATTGCCTGGCGAGGTGAGACAAGAGGGTGGGAGGAATGGAAGATGCCGGGGGTGGATTTCTCCAAGACGGACAAAGAGGAGGCCACGGCTCATGACGAGGAGCAGCAGGGAGAGAGAGAATAGGAGCGGCGGTGCAGGAAGGGGAGGAGGAGAAGGAATGACCGGGTGGACGCGATGTCACGGATGAAGAAGGTGATGATGGCGATGATGAGAGGGAAGGACAGAGAGAGAGAGAAGCGAGACGGAAGGAGCGAGCAGAATTAAGCGACACGGAGCGGCGTCTGTTTTCACAGGAGGTGGGCAGAGGGGAGTTTTTGGTGAAGAGGAGAATCCGGAACTGGATGGTGGGCAGGGGGGGGGGTAATGAGCCTGGACTTTTGAAGAGGGACATGGGATCCGTGTGGACAACAAGGGAGGAGGAAGCCCTCGATGACAAACAATGCCGATCATTGCCCAGGAAAGCCTCACTTGGACTCAAGACTTTCGGGAGAGTCCTGATACATTGGGATGTTTAGCCACCGAGTGTCTGTGTGTCACGCCAAGGGTTTGTGGACCGGAGCTGTCGACGAGGGCAGTTTACTTCGCAGAGAAATGCATGCATAGGGGTGGACATTCAAATAACAACAATATTATTACGAGCAAAATATAAGTGTGAACATCAAACATAACTTCTTTGCATATAAAAACAAATCATGAGCAGCACAGAAGATGCGGATACGTGGCACGGATCCCCGAAAAACAAACGAGAGCAATTATTATTTTAAACTGTACACGTGTATGTACGGCTATGTACACATCGTACACTACTATATACACGCGTCATGTATAAAAAGCAAATGCCAATAATATAGGAAAAATGAATTAATCGATCAGGGTCATATCCTGGCGTTCGCTGTACAATTACATTTTACGACAATCAACTTCTCCTCATTGAGATATGAACAACAACACGTGTCTTGCGATGTATGCGCGCGTGGGGAGCGGTAGTGTAGCAGTCGGCGCACTGCACTCAGGCGACCTGAGTTTGACTCCCGCTCACGGACAACACCAGTGACGATTACCGAAGCCGGTCCTGAGCCTCCCCTAGGTCGATTCAGCCTCAAAATAAACACCGGGTGGTGCGGTGTGTAGTAAACATCGCCACGCGGGAGACAAAGGCAGCCGGGCGTTGTGCTGGCCACCAACCCACTCATTTGCCCTGCCGGCCTTCGCTAACAGCACTTGCCCCAACATTCCGTTCAGGCTATACGGGGGTTCTTTGTCTTGTATGTGCGTGAGCGTGTTGCGTGCGCATTACGCGTTTGCTATGCGTGTGCCAACTGCTGTCCTGGAAACCCTTGCAATCGAGACGATCCATCTGCAAGGGAATATCCAGGTGAAATATTCTAATACAAAAAAAACGTGTCCGTATAACAACACATCCTCGGCGACAAGAGTTAGAACAACGAAATAAAAAGCTACACACACCCGAGACGATATTTAAGGAAAGTGCCATTTTTGGGGCATTTTAAAACTGCTTCAAAGTTTTTGTATATCTCTGTATATCTCTATATACTTGACCCTCTCATGCACCACGTCCTCTGTGGTGGACCGGCTTTGATTTATGTGACCGCTTTGCAATTGAGTTGCCATATTGCGTCTCGCCAGTTGAAGGCCGCGCAGCAAATACAAGGACCCCACCTGTCCCAGGCGCACGTGTGGTGGGTTTTGTTTTCTCCGGATGCTCCGGGCTCCTCCCCCACGCGTACACGCGCAGTATGATAGGCTTGCAATCATCTTTACGCATCAGGGACCGCAGAGCTTGGGCGGATTGTTGGCGCCGGCTCACCGCGTGTCCGCGGTTGCTCCACGCGCCTTCCAAATCGTTGTCTGCATTCGAGCGTGAGTGAGCCCTGCGCGGCGCGCTACAAGTTGACATCGTTATCATTATTATCATTAATGGTTTTCAACACATGTCTGTTGGAGGGCGGGGGAGGGGCGGGGAAATCCCTTTGAATCATAAATTAACTTTAAACTCCCAAAAAAACTAATCGGGGTTTGCTTCGAATCGTAATTCATGCATGAGAGGGTTAAGGCGGCACTGCTGGGAGAACACTCATCCCCAAAGCCCCTCAGGTCGATGGACCCGCACGCCACTTTGGTTCACAACGAGCTCCTCTCGGGTTGGACCGTCGAGGTATAAATATCGACGTCCAGCTGTTTTCTCACGAACTGTCACGCAAACCGCGGCCACTCTCGCAGCAGCAGCAGCAGCAGCAGGAGCAGGAGCAGCGGCAGCAGCAGCTTCTGGCTCGGCCATCGAACAAAAACGTCGGTCACCGCATCGCACGGCGCTTTGAGACGCGCTGCTTCTGCTGCCGTCTGGAACGCTCTTCCGATATCAGGAATCCGCTGGAGCTATGCACTTTTAAATCTACGTTTAAAACTCACTTCTTTCGAACTGCTTTGTGTGTTCAATGTAATCTTCCCCCGCACCTCCGATTAGCATGGTTGGCTACTTACGGTGCGAAAGAAGTTCAACATACATACATACACCTCCCCCAACCGACTGAGAATATTTTCACGAGGGCAAATATGCCAATTGATTGGGTTTATCGCGGAGGAATGTTGAAACGCGGGTGACATTTTTACACTTTTATAACCGACGATTCACTGGAGATGACTGGTTTCCCTCATTAGGTTACGCGGTCCTAGTACTGGTAGTAGTACTAGTAGTGGTGGTAGAAGTAGATTTGTTCCAAAAAAGTGGGCGCATAAAGTGAAACCGCACGAGGGACCAGCTGCCTACCCGAGTTGAATTCAAACCGCGCAATGTCACGAATTTTGAGTAGAGATCGGCCAGCCGCATATGCATGCAGCGAGGGGAAACGTGTGCGTGAAGCATCGTCCAGCGTGGCATTGCACTTTGTTCAAATGCCTCGCGATGAATTGGACCCATATTTATTAGAGTATTTTTTTTTAAGAAGAAGAAGACGAGCTGAGAAGCGGAATTTCGGTGACATCGGTAATGTCCATCGCGAGTTGTGGGGTTTCTCATGAGACTCGGCAGTGTCAGTGTCGGCGATGCAAGGCGTTAAGGAGCGAGGGTTAGCGAGGGAGGTTCACCGAGTACAAAATAACAACGATGTCACGACGCGACACTCATTTAATGCCGAATCGACCTCAGAGTGGCCGAGTTCTGATATCAATCGCCCCTGACGTTAGCCATGGCCGGGAATTTACACTCAGGGGGCCAGGCGCAGATTGCGAAAGTTGCGCTAACCACTCCGCCACTCCTCCCCACAGAGACACACAAAGACAAAGATCCCACTTATAGCCTTAACAGGCTTTTGGGACAAGTGCTGTTAGCGAACACCTGTGAAAGAGAGACTGAGAAAGATGCACACGTACATGTTTACACGCGCGCACACAATGGTACAGAATGACTCGTTATTACTCGCTGAATCACTATGATTACTGCATTGTGAATAATGCACTGCACTGCGATGTGTCTCTTGGTGCTCTCTTCACGACGAGCCACGTGGTGGATCGTTGGGCGCGCGGCGTTCGAGCCGGACCGGGGAGCCTAACTCGGATGTCGGTGCCGCGGCGTTTTCCGCTAAAGTAGCCCGAAGGGGGAAAACAAAAATCGCCAAACCGTCGATTTTTGTTTGCCGATTCAACGTGCCCGCCGCCGCCGACGCCCCTAGAAATCCAGCTGCCATCTCGGCGTGACTCGGGCGTTGGGAGGTCGGCAAACAGACAACCTGGCACCGTCACGAGCGCTAAAGCGCTCCTCCTGCTCCTCCTCCTCCTCGTTCTCAAGAAAACCACGCGCGCGACAAAGGCGCTCGCTCGCTCACGAGACGCCAGTCCGCGGTTTGCTGGAATGATTAACGGGCGCTTCTCTCTCCTTGGCAGAATCTCCCCCCCCCGCCCGCCGGCCGGGCCCCCACCACCATGCCCCCCACCCCCCCACATCAACCCCCCACCCCCCACACCCTCCGCCCCCCCTCTCCTTTGTGGCAATTTACGCAGAGGTTTTTTTCTTCCAGGCATGTCGGAATTTAAGAATACCCGCTACATCAATTTCGAGCTAAGCATTTAAAAAAATAGCGCGCATTTGACTTAAAAATTTCATTAAAACGAAATGTCACGTATTTCATGGGGAGGGGAGAGAGAGAGAAAGAAAAAAAACCCACCGTACATTCGGCCGGCTAACCTCCGAGATCTATTAGCCTGCTCGAGTCAATTGTGGAGTCAGTGTAATTTGTTTGCTTGCATAATTTTTTAATGCGCCCGCCAGCTACTTAACCAAAAATCTCGGAGGGGAGTGTGGCTCCTTCTCGCAGCTCCCCTCCCCCCACCTCCAACAAGGCTCCCATCTAATGAGGGTCTCGCTGCATGGACGGTGATGCATTATTCACCATGGTGGGTGGGTAGACGGGGGTGGAGGGGGATTGCGGGAGAATCTGCTCCTAGGAAAGTTGAATTCGCACGGAGGAGCTGGGGACGGTGTTGAACGAACATCGCCACTGCTACGGACTGGAACTGTGCAGCCCAGCCAACCATCCAGGCAGGCAGGCAGGCAGCTAGTCATTCTACCAGCCAGACATAAAGCCAGCTGCCTAGCCAGATAGCCACCCAGCCAAACATCCAACCAGATACCCAGCCAGTCAGCCACCCAGCCAGACAACCACTCAGCCAGCCAGCCGTCCTCTCTGCCAGGCACCCACCGGCCAGCAAGTTAACCACCCATCCGTCACTCAGCCTGGCAAGTCAGGCTGCCCCCTCAGAGTATCCACACTGCCAACACACCCATACGTACGACCTCCCCCCCCCCACTTTTCCCGAACAATCAAGGAAAGCTGCGCAAAGAAGACAAGGGAGGAAGAGGAGAGGAGGAGGAATATTGCTCAAAAGTGTCCCCCTGAGTTCATCGGGCGAACCCGTCCTCTCACAACAGAAGAGAGACGCCCCCCTCGCACTCCCGTGGAAAGGGGGAGGGGGGAGGTAGCGGCTCTTCCCATCGCCACAAGTCCCCCTGTCCCCTCTCCGATCTGCCACCAGAGAACATCTCGCAGGCAAAATCATCACTCCATTCATTATCTCACCGGCTTAACCTTCCTGCGCCGCCGGTAGCGCGGGCGCGTAAGGCAAAACCAATTTTATCATTTCACGTGAGAGTTGCTTGTGGGGTGGGTTGGGGGGGGGGTGTTAAGGTTGGCGACGCTGGGCGCTGTGGTGACACTTTGAGAATTGTCCCGCACCGCACGCTCTTATTGCTCTCACTCAATAAGGCCACGGCGCTTCCATCGCGCGCCGCATTTCACTGGCTTTTCATCTCTCTTCCGCAACCCATTTTACTACCTGGGGGCCCCGTCCCTCTATCGACGAATTAATTATCTTGTTTATTAAACGTATCCCGTTATTCATATGTTTATTTTTCACTCCCTCCGTTTGAATGGGCTCGCTTAGTTTATTGCTGTTCTGTGACGCTCACAAGAAGCGAGCGATCGAGCAGGAGCGCTGGGCGTGCCCTCAGGCGCGGTGGCCCACAGACTCCAGGAGAAGCCGGGAGAGGCGTGGCCCGTCGATCGATCGCGTTTGTCACTTATATATAAAGACAACAACACCGTCCGCCCACCACTCAAAGTCCACGCGGAGAAGATCTTTTTTTTGTTTCGATTCTCTCCGGCTCCTGTCTTCATCGCGGTGCCGGGGGGTAAGTGACGTGGACGATTAACAAGGCAGTGGCCTCCACTAAAACTCTACCGATGAAAATGTTGTTCTGTTCGTGTAAAGAAAAATAAGTAAGCTGGTGTCGAGAGAGTGCCGCTCTGGGGGATAGAACGCCGCTCCGGGGCGGCCGCTGAAATTAACACCGGCCGCCGTCACGGCCTTCACGCCCATCACGACCATCACGACCATCACAGCCGCATGCTCAGCGGCGGTGAGCGAACGTTCCGCTGGTTTCTGGCACCGATCCAGGATTCGGCAATGGGGGTAAGGGGGCTGGTGGGGGGGCCGGGCTGGCGTCTTAACTGAGCAACGATGGTTTCCCTTCCGCCAACAAAAGTTCCATTCTGGATAACCAACCCGACGGTGTCCTCGCTTCCCGCCCAACCAGTTTCACCCGCGGGCAAAACATCCGCACCGCTCGGCAGTTCCCTCTCACACGCCGATCGTCGTCCCGTTCCCGTGCGGACGGGAGGGGGGGCGGGCGAGCGAGCGAGCGAGCGAGCGGTCGGGCGAACGGTCGCCACCGATCCTTCTTGGGGGGGCGCTGCGGGACAGGGATGGGGGCGGCGGCCGGGGTAAGGGAGTGCGGGGGGGGGAGGGGCTCAGGGCCAGTCGAAGGTGCGCCCGAGCAGGCGGAAGAGGCGGCGGTTTGGCTCGCGGAAGAATCGGCGCAGTCGCTCGAGGAGGGCGCCGTCGACGCGGGGGTGCGGCCGCCCCTTGGAGTCGTCGAGGCAGCGGCGGCGGCGCGCGTCGCGCAGGCAGAAGAAGCCGCGCGTCGCGTTGAAGTAGAAGTTGCCAGCCGAGATGCGCGGCTCGAGGCCCAGGAAGCGCTCGACGCGGCCCAGCTCGGCGAGCGGCTCGCGGATCAGCCGGTCGCCGTCCACCACGTGCAGGCGCTCGCGCGGGAAGTGGCGCAGCCAGTTCTCCATGTGGTCTGAGCGGTGGCGGGGCCGGTGGATGCCGTGGGGGTTGGAGGGGAGGGGGGTCGCAGGGTAACGGATGTGATTGTCGTCATCATCATCGTCGTCTTCGTCATCATCAGTGTCATCATCAACAGTGTCATCATCATGTGTCATCTTTGCTCATCATCGTCATCATTTGTTTAAACCGACCAAAGCAGTGTATAAAATGTGTCATCGTCCCGCACCTGATTAGCACGGTTGGCTACGTACGGTGCGAAATAAGTTCAACATACATGTATTATCACTGGCATTGTCACCACCACTACCACCACCAATATCCACGTCTCATCATTGTGACTATCATCAGCGTCGTCATGGTTGCCGTCACGATGGTGGTGGTGGTGGAGGCTGTGACGGCCTCTCACCTGCGTAGAGGCTGCGGTTCACCGCCTTGTAGTCGGGCCGCAGCCGCCCCGTGCTGCGGCTCAGCAGGAAGTCCCGGAGTGGGGGGCACTCGCGCCCCCGCTCGGCGCGATTGTAGAAAACCTGCGCAACGCACGCACCCGGCACAACGCACGCACGCGCCCTGGTCAATTGGCACAATGCTTCTGCGTGCGGTGGACACCATGGGGCTTGAGTTCTCTCGCTCAGTATGTATGTCCCGTATGTTGAACTTCTGTCGCACTGAACGTCGCAGGTATACACACACATCGGATATAGGTGGCATGCGACTCGTACCCAATGCTATGCTGCATGCGGTGTGTGGGGTGAATAAGTATGTTCAAAAATAAGAAATATATCAATGATTGTTGTCCGAGCAGAGACGCGAAAGCCCAAAGTGGCAAGTGGCCAGCACCGTTGAAGGTGTAAGAGGTAAGCGCGAACGCATTTTAGAACTCCGTAAACGGAGGCGATGCGAGGAGCGAGTATATTGGGCGTGGTGTGTGCTGGGTGAGTGGCTGCCGGCACCGTGCGAGCGAGCGAGCGAGCGAGGGAGCGAGGAGCCGACCTGCGTGTAGTCGGAGAGGATTCGCTCGACGGGGTCGCGCAGGATGAGCAGGAGGCGCAGGGCGGAGACGTTCCCCCCGGACGGCGCGTGGTAGCCCGCCATGCGCGCCGCCACCTTCAAGCGCGGTGGGAGACGGAGGACGGGGAAGAGAGACAGAGTTGGACAGCGAGATAGATGGACAGAGATGGGAGTTGGACACAGAGAGACGGACGGAGACGAGTCAGAAACAGAGATGGAGAGAGAGAGACACATACAGATGGAGACAGATCAACAGAGAGATGGACAGAGAGACAGAGTTGCGCAGAGAGACAGCGATGGTCAGAGAGAGACAGAGATGATCAGAAAGAGACATACAGATGGAGACTGAGAGGTACACAGATGGATACACAGACAATTGCACTCAGACCATACGACTGGCATTTGAGGCTCCATGTCTCTGCTTCACGAGAGTCCCCGCCAAACCCCCCCCCCCCCCCCAACGCCTCTCCCTAGTAGAGTCAAACTCGGTCCACCAGGCCAGGGAATCGATCTCGTCCCGATGCCCGTCGAGAAGGGAGGGGGGGCGAGGAGGGATGGGGCGGGGGGGGGGCAGCACCTGCGGCGCGGTGAAGTAGGCGGGCGTCTTCTCCACGGTGACCTGGTCGGGCCGCGAGGGCGGCATCTGCTGGCGGTACCACTCGAGGCCGCGGGCGAAGTTCTCGTCGCGGTTGAAGAAGTGGAGCTCCGTCTCCGCCGTCACGACCGCCGGGTTGAGGCTCAGCATCTCGAGCAGCGCGCGCGTCCCGCCTGCAGCGTCAAATAAAGATTATCATGATTATGACACGGTAATGATACTAACATCGCCAGCGAAGATAGCCGTAACAGGCTGCAATCGTGGTCGTGGTCCACCCGTAAACGTATCCGTTCAATCTATGGCAGATGCAGATACCTGATGCACTAATGGAAAATGTACAACTCTCCAGTGTGCCACCCACCCACCCCCTCGTCTGCTGTGCCGGCCTGCTACTCGCTAACAGCACTTGCCCCAACAGTCTGTTGAGGCTATACGGGAGATCTTTGTCTTCTGGGGCCCAGGGCTCTGGTGCGGTCGACTGAGGCGTCCGCCCGCCCACGCAATGTGGCCGCAGAGAGGCAGTCTCTGATGCTCAAGGGCGGTGTAAACGTTTCGTTTTTATAGAAAACCCCAACGCATTCGTCAATAACACTGTGCCCTTAGCACACGAGTTATGAATAATGGCCATTTTTTTCATCTTAAGTCTTATTGACGAAGGTGCTGAGTGTCTGTTACTTGTGCGTGTGCACCAATGGGACTGCAGCCGAAGCAGTAGCAGCACCGCCAACTAATCTGTTCAGATTGTAGATCGCGTCGTCGTGGTCGGCATCTCCCACGATCGCCGAGGACCCACAGACAAAGCCGGAGAGCAGCAGCCCGGCGTTGAGGAGCCGACGCTAAAGAACCAACAACTGCCCAAGCTCTGCGGCCCTCCATACACTAAGATGTTCTCAGCAAATGAAGGAGAGTGTTAATACGTGCGAGAGGGAACCGGAGCGCCCGGAGGAAAACGCGGAGCACCCGGGAAAATAACCTCCACAACCCGCTAGGCCGTCGTCCAGCAGTGGATCGACCTGCGACGAGTGTGTAGTGTGTGTCCGCGTGCGTAGCGCGTGTACCCTTGCGGACGCCGATGATGATGGTTTGCGGCAGGCGGCGGCTGAGGCTCGGGTCGTCTTCCAGACGTTTCCTCCTTCTGCGCGAGCCCTTGCCGTGGCCGCGACGCGGCTTGATCGCAGCCGAATCCTGTTGCTGTTGCTGCTGAGCCAGCCCCGTGTCCGCTGAGGTCTCATCGCGCTGGCGGTAGCGGTCGTCGTCGTGGTGGTGGTGCTGGAAATATTGGAGATCGTCGAGGAGCTGATGCTGCTGCTCTCCTGTCGAGCCGACTGCTACTTGTGCCGCCGGCGATGACGACGATGCCGTCGACGACGACGATGTGGACGATAACGAGGGCCGCTGCGCCGACAGCGTTGGGGCAGAGCCGCCGGGGCAGTCGGGGGAGCAGGCGGGCGCGGACGCGGGCAGCCACAGTGACAGGAAGGGCAGCAGCACGGGCAGCAGCAGCAGCGGGGATGGCGGAGGCGTCATCTCGGAATCGCCGTCACGCGCGGGCGATTCGTCTCGCGGGCCGCGCCCTGCTGATGAGGCTCGGCGAAGTCGATGCCGGTGCAGGGATTTCCTTGCTCAAGCGAACGCGGCTGGGACGCATTGGTCCTGAAGGGTCCAGTGGTCGACGGAGTCTGAGATTGATGTCTCCAGGCGCATGGTGGAGGCTGCTCCCCGTCGCTAGCGGCCCACGGCCTCACGGTGCTGATGAGCCTGAAGGAGGCAAAGATGCGGTCACCTCATCCCTTCCTGCTCCGTGACGCAAGCCTGCACGCGACGGACAGACGGACAGCGCAGGACAATGAATAGGTTCGTCGATTGAGGCCGATTGACATCAATTCTTAAACTCAATGTACACGCATCATCGCATCCTGCGCGCGCAATGATGCATTATTTATTGTTGATGCAAACGATATGCGATTGACGTTACGTGTATGCTAATGGAGCGAAAAAAAGACTACGAACGAGATTGAAACTAATGAAACAACACAAATGAGATGGTGCACACGAGACAAATACGAATTGGATCTGTAACAAGTTGCGATCCTGGATTGTGACAAATTCGTCAACCGGCGGGGCTGCAGGTAAATCATTACACGGGACTGCATCTGTGATAGTAGCCATCCACAACGAGACATTTTTTTTCCGAATAATCTAAAACCAAACGTGACATTTTAAATCGACAACGACGACGATGCCGTTCATTCATCCAATAAGTGCTGCCACACTGGGACGTTTTGGCCAAATCCCATTAACGGGGGCGGGGAGGAACGGGGAGGAGCGGGGGGGGGGGGGTTTGGCTGCGCGTGGCAAGGTAACCGGAGACACCCGAAGAACGACCCCCCCCCCACGCTCGCGCGCTCACGATGTGGGTCACGTTTCCTGGTTCGGGCGGCTGTTGTTGTTATTATGATTGCTATTTACGTCGTGTGTTTTTGATGCTCGTTTCATCGTCCCAACGGACGGCTGTCGGTTTTTTTCTTAACAAGCTCGCTCACTTTCACAATGTAAACAAACCAAGGGGAGCCCGTCAATAACTAAACCTGCCCCTTCCTCCTCCTCCTGCCGTTGGCGGCGATGGGAGCCGACCGCTCGCTCCCATCGCTCGGCCCCTCCGCCCGGACTCGCCGGAGCTCCGCACTCCGAAAGGTTTCGGGCGACCCCAGGGAGCCTTTTGGCTGTAAAAGTGGAAGCGGTGTGGATGGGAAAAAAATATATAGATGGGGAGGTGGGGAGGTGCGGGTTTGGGGGGAAGGCAACTGGACGGTGTCTGACAAAACCAATCCTCCGGAGTGATTTCTTGATCACACCAGCGTCGAAAGCATCGGCCCTCTTCTCCTGTCGAAGGCGCCATAGCCAGTGGTGGGAACACCCCCCCCCCCTCTACATTGATGCGTGTATGGTGCTCTAGCTTTTAGTGCAGGCTTGATGTTGACGATCGGTGCCGGAAAGATGTAGCCACTACTGGAGCAGATTGCCACAAGACAGAGGAAAGCGGAAACAGACGACGGAACGTGCAGCGGACACGTCCGGGGCAATCTTTCCCGTGGATCGTGATGAGGATGATGATGACGATGTTGCCCATAATCTTTTGTGATTCGCTGTTGTTGTATACTAACCCTTCTTCCAAAATTGAGATTAATAATATTTGATGATTTTTATATATTATCTTTTTACTTGTTTTTTTAATGAATGAAACACACCAAAAGCGCAGCAAACTGCAAAACACCAGGTGTTGTTAAGTAATGAACTGGAGGAGGGCTAGGATGGCAGAATTTGCAACCTTGCTTCAAGGAAAGATAAGGCCTGATGAACGGGCACATGTCACCCGTGCAGGCGGCAGAGACAGTGGGAGTGTCAGCCAGACATAGTTAAGGCAAAAAGCCCAACCATCCTGCATGGTTTTAAAGTAACGTCAAAATTCGAAATTCAACAACAGAGTAGGCTAAAGTATCGATCCTCGCGCTCGCTCAAATTGGAGACCAGGCTGCGAGCTACATCAATGAACCATTGCCATTTGCTAATCCAATACTGAATGTTAATATTACTGAAGTCAAAACGAATTCTATGACCTCAGCACATGGGCAAATAATAGGGCAGTGTCGACTCAAAGGCAATGGAAGAAACAGAGGCGCCTTTGTCTAAATCACAACCACAGAAAGCCAGGAATCATCACTGATTGTGTGTTTAGGGATTCCGAGCTAGTTGGAACACGTGCACACAGGGGGGAGGTAGAAATACGCCTTGTCCTCCTGCAGCTGAGGGAACGAAAATAAGTGGGTCAGCTCAAGGCTGTGTGCACAGGGGAGGGAGCTGATTTAAACAACCCTGCACGTCTGAACGTGAGGGGGCCTTTGACCTGAGATTAAGAATAACACTCCCAGAGCAGAAGGTTGGATGACCACAGTGAGACGAGAATAAGAGTGGTGTATATCTCTCAAGGAGGCAGACCCAGCTGAACAACAAGGCTGCGGGGGTCACCAGAAGTTCGCGTTCGCCTAGTTAAGACAAAAAGCTCAATTATTCTGTATTGCTATTAAAGTAACGTTAAAGTCGGAATTTAACAACAGGGTAGGCTAAAGTTTGATATTCACACCCACTCCAATTAAACCAGGTCACAAGTTACGCCTACTGAACCATCACCATCATTAAGTCAATATGAAATGTTATTTCCATACTTTAATACTTTCTATACAACTCGACCCGAAGCATATGACAATCAGAACCTTCCTAAGTTAAAATTGAATCGCACCCAGACAGGAGCGAATAGTCGATATAAGGTTGAAGAGGGAAGGAAATTAAGAGCACGGCGAACTGCAAACGTAAGCAAAAAGCCGGGAACGACCAGCCCAGCAACAGCGAGTCGGGCTTCAACAGGCCATAAATTAAGAATAATAACTCCCGGGGTCAGGGGACACAAGAAGAAGCAGGCAGACAAAAACCAGAACTGACTCCAAGGTTCAACCGCCCTCACACACAAGGAGTGACGGAAATTAATGAGGCCTTGAGTTAACGACGTCAGCTGGACTGCAACAACCACGGCGAGCAGAGATAGGGTGGGGCAAAGACTGCGGGGCTATGGAATGCAACTTCGTGTCAGTAAAGCCCTGACAAACAAGTTAAGTTAAAGACATCACAATACATAATATCGCACATAACATCAATGTTAACGCTATTCACCGTAAACTATATTCCGCTTATATAACCATCCAGGCACCAAGGAATACGAATTCCTAGGATCAAGAAACTTACCCCTTAACCTAAGATATCGGAAATAAATTAATAGTAATAAGTATATGCATGAAAAGACAAAGTAAAACTTATGGAAAAGCCAGGATAACGGGATGAATCACAACCAGGTCGAATATAATACATAATAAAAAAAAAACGATGTTAAACCCAGGGTCGGAGAGAAAGGGAGATCCCGGCCGTCTTTGTATCCCCGCAGCGCGGGATAGGAGTGTGTATACGCTCGGGGAAACACCTACACTTGAGTCAAGCACCACGATGGGAAACGACAGACCTTAGGTTACATACAGAATCATAACTGTGAAATAGTAAGGGACAAATGTTAACTTAAAACTTTTTAACCATTTCTTTGTGCGCCGGGTCGGAGAGAGTGTTGCCCCTCCCTCCAGGTTGTGCAACACGAACAAAGACGCCTATGAGACATTTGTAACGTCTGTGTTTTGGGTTCATGAAGAAGGCCAGACAAGAGATAATATTGCACCCAGACAGAGAGACGACCTCGAGGCAATTTGTAACATCTGATTGTTTGCTCGTGGGTTTATGGAGGGAGTGTGACAACGAATATACCGTCAGTGATGCACACAAGGACACACGGACATACGGACAGACACATGGACACACCTGCCTACGGACAGATCCTGACACAGCAAAAATCGGAAGAAGCCCCGCCTTGTGGGCGGGATCCAGGGGGAATTTTCGGCATAAAGTAAAGGATCCTGAGCATTGGAAATGAGTGCGACGGGAGGGTCGACTCAGGAACGAGTGCGACCAGAGTGGGTCCACTCAGGAGTGCGACCAGCGGGTCCACTCAGGAGTGCGACCAGAGGGTCGACTCAGGAGCGAGGGCGACCAGCGGGTCGACCCAGGAGCGAGCTCGACCGGGAGGGTCGACTCAGGAGCGAGCTGCGACCAGCGGGTCGGCTCGACTCATCTTTAGCTCGTCAACCTCTGCCGAACCGGGGGTCTCTGCTGCCACCGGAGTGGTGAGCATCGCTGTTCGACGACAACCCAGAGCTGCACGCTGCGAGCGAGTTGTGGGCGCCACCTACCGACCGGGTTCCGAACTGCGACAGCGTATCAACAGCCATCCGAACCAGTTCGCCACGGTGACAGGGGATCGACTGATACGTATGACGCGCACCGCCCCCTCACCACACGACCACCAGGCGTCTGTTTGACCTAAAGAATCGACTCCGAACACTGACTATTCGAGACAACTCTTACCACTCAAAAACACTCGAACCCATAAGCCATCCGTGGCTGGAAAGCATCGCAAACTGATTCTTGGCACCTCCTTCCGCCGAGCCACGCTCACGTGGGGAGTGGTGGCCCACCGGATCCTTATCAGGTGATCTGGTCCCCAATTAGTAAACTTGGTATAAGATAACGAGCTTCGGAAAAGGAGCACCGTCGCAGGCCCTTACTCCGGGCCGTTCTGTTGTCAGATAACCTGCCGATGTATCTGTTGAGATTGGTGCCTTTAAGAATAATAACTGTTTTTGATTGTGTTTTATCGCCGTATAATCTTTCAAGTATCTTTCAGTCATAATCGCCGCACGTACTCGCATCCTCTACAGAATATTCAACTGTCCCGTGACCCAAGGTGTTTACAACGTGATAAGGGTTGCGTATGGTCAATAAGGAGTGTGGTACTGCATGAACAATATTGAGTATAATCATTCATTAGCGTTAAGGTTTTCTTAGCATAGTATTTGCATATTTCAACGACTCTCTCCCGCACTAACAACCATCGCGTTATGAACAATATTGAGTATAATCATTCATTAACATTAAGGTTTTCTTAGCATAGTATTTGCGTGTTTTAACGACTCTCTCTCTCACTAACAACCATCGCGTTATGCGGGATCCATGTGCAGTTGTCAAAGTGAAATCAGACAATCGTTGATGATACTGTATTGATGCCGTGTTGACGTTCCGGGATTGAGAGTTCGCATATTATATCATAGTTAAGGTTGAATTAGTAATAAATTGATCAATACAGAAGTGGTTGTGTGATT